AGAAGCCTCAGTTCCTCTGTTTAATATTCAATTCTAGAATTTTGCCAGGAAGTAGCAATCCTCCTGTGTCCTTTTTGAAATTTGGGAGATCGCCTTCCCCATGATGTCTCAGAGATTATGACAAAGGTTCTAGGATCTGCCTCTAAATTCTTCCTGGACGCTGTGAGATCACATCCAGGCCGGGGAGGACAAAACTCATGTAGTAGAGGCAACTTTGTGGGGGCAGACAGGTCCAGTTGGTGGTTATTGCCCAAGGCGCGACCCTGGCAGGATTCTTAAGCCTTATCCAGGCTCCGCAAGAAGTCCTGCTGTCATGCAATGTCAAGGTCAGTCACTGGCCCCAATGAGAAGCGTGGCTGTGTCAGAAGGCTGTATTTCTGATCTGGAGCTAGATGTTTTGCACAATTTCATTACCATCCTAAGCTTTATTTTCCTTATGTGTCTTTGTCTTATTTCATTTTCATTTTAAAAATGTTTTTTTTTTCAACGTTTATTTATTTTTGGGACAGAGAGAGACAGAGCATGAACGGGGGAGGGGCAGAGAGAGAGGGAGACACAGAATCGGAAACAGGCTCCAGGCTCTGAGCCATCAGCCCAGAGCCTGACGGCCTGACGCGGGGCTCGAACTCCCGGAACGCGAGATCGTGACCTGGCTGAAGTCGGACGCTTAACCGACTGCGCCACCCAGGCGCCCCTCATTTTCATTTTAAAGGCTTTTTGCATTAAAGGATAAAATTGAAGAAAAATTGGGGGTGATTCATGACGTTGGCTATTAGCTGCGGGACTTTGAGCAAATTGCTTAACCTTATTTTAAAGTGTTCAACTTAACTTTTTCTTAGGCTAAATTTACACAGTTGTGACTATCTATACTATCTTGGCCCCCTTAGCTTCCCTTTTTGTCAATAGAACCAACCCAATGCACTTACAACTCTTTTTAAAAAAAATTTTTTTTGCCATAGCTTATTTTTCCAGTTTTATTGTGGTATAATTCACATATAACGTTGTATTATTCCGAGGTGTACAACATAATGATTTGATATATGTATATATTGCAAAAACGATGACCACCGTAAGTTTAATTAACATCCATCACCTCACAGCGATAACAAATGTCAGCGAGGATGTGGAGAAGACAGAAGCCTCGGGCGCTGTTAGTGGGAATGTAAGCTGGTGCGGCCACTGTGGAAAATAGTACGGAGGGTCCTCAAAAAATTAAAAACAGAGCTGCCATATGATCCAGCAATCGCACTTCTGGGTATATACCCAGAGGGAACAACACCACTATCTTGAAGAAATATCTACGCACCCCCCCTTCACTGTAGCATTATTTACAATAGCCGAGATAAGGAAACACCTAAGTATCCATCAATAGATGAATGGATACTTGTTGTTGTTTTGTTTTGTCTTGCTTCGTTTTAATTTGTAAGGTTCCATCCTTTAAAATCTCTCTGGACTCACTCTCACAATGCTGTGCCACCAACCCTTTACTCTAGCTTGGATTTTCACCCCCACCTCCCCCTTTGGTCCGTTTCTGAAACCTTGTGTTGTGTTGTGGTTCCCGGGACATCTTTTGTGGGGAATGGGCGTGGGAGATCCTTGTACTTTCTGCCCTACGGTCTCCGGCCATTCACTGTTCATTCCTATCCTGCCCTTTTTCTGACACCCCAACCTAGGCTGGACAACACAACTTCCTAGAGCCAGAAGGTCAGAGAGTGACATTCAACTTGCAGTGATGCAAGTGAGAGCACTTGAAAACTTGTAAAACCTCTAAATGGCTCCCCAAAACAGTCTCAGTCCTAAAATGCAATGTATTTTAAGACAGCATAAATTCAAAAAATGTTTTCAGGGGGAAAAATAGTAAATGTGCATTTGGATTTATAAGGCACCAGATTTCAGAAATACTAAAATGTTAAAAAAAAAAAAGGGTGTCTTAAAATTGGAAAACTCAGTGTTACCTGTTAACATTCTGGAAACTTCCTTGTGTGATGGGTTATTGAACAGGCCAGATTTGGTAGGAGGAAATCAGGAAGTAGCTTTGTGTTCCTCCCTCCACGGTCTCCCTCAGGCCCATTCAGTCGGCTCTCCTGTCCCCATGCCTTGGTGGCATCTCTAGCAGATCTTAGCGTGCCCTGGTCACTTTCAAGCATTAGAAAGTCCAGCACAATCCAATCAAAACTTTGCTCCCTCCATTCAGCAGAAGCTTCTCTGTTCTCTCCAGCCCACCACCTGAGCTCAGGTCTGAGACCTGCCCCTCCGGTGCTCTCTCTGCTACTTCTGGTTACTCCAGAGCCAGGGCCAAGGCCAATGCCAGGGAAAAGGGCCTATGGGTTTGTACTTTTCTCAGCTGTGTACTGCTCCCCCCTTACTGCTAATGTGCACACACTGGAAAATTCCCAGGGGATCCTTTTGTAGGTTCATTAGGTATGCCTCCCTACCACTATCACTCCCCTCACCCCCCAACCCACTCTATTTCAGATGCACACGGATTTTTCAGGAAGACACTACCATCCAGTGGGGGCAATGCATTTTTAGATGGCCTCTTAGGATGCCCCTCAGCTCTGCCTCTCTGCAGTTTGCTCCTGGGCTCCCTTCGTCCAAGCTGGTAGCCCTCTTGGCTGTGGTCCTTTTCAAGCCAGAGCATTGCAAGGCATTCCTACCATTGCCCTCTCTCCTCTCCCAGGCACCTGTAGGGGCTTCAGCCAACCCCTACCTTCAGGCCACTTGAGGGAAGAGTCTAATGACCAGCAAACCCAAAGGCTGTATTTCAAGTTCTCCCAGGAGCCCTCCTGTGTTCGTCCAGCCATAGCACAAGGAAGGCCCTAGAGGTCGGGTAGATCAGCCAGGACCTGGCCAGCAAGTGAGGTGTAAGCACCCCCTTCCTTAAAAGAAAACTCTAATATCCACCATTGGTTCCCTAGGGTCCCTCTTCGCTTCTCCTAGGAGGCTGCGGGGAGGAAGGGGAGGGGCCCCACCTCCATGTTTACAGGTGGGGAAATGGAGATGTTGTGGGGCCACAACTGCAAAGAAATCTTCTTCTCTCCTAAGAGCCACGAGCCATATGCATAGGGGGTTGCTGGGTCTGCTCGGGCTCCCGTAAGTTCAAGGTGGATGTGGCCAGCCCCTCTCTTTAGAAAGTAGATAATACTTTCTAAAAGCCTTTGGAGGCTTTGGCAAAAGCAGGACACAGGAGGCGCTCATCCTACCTGTTACACTTGTTTAATTCAATTGGACAAACTTGGGGTGTGCTGCACGCCAGACGTTGAGCTAAAGCCTGGGATTACAAATGTGAGCAAAACACAATCCACCCCCCTCAGAAGATCAGAGCTCCTGGTAGAACTCAGAATGGACGAACTAACAGAGAGGCAGCGGGTGGGAGTCTAGGGCGCGGTCTCCGAAGCCTGGGTGCCTGGGTTTGAATCGTGACTTTGCCACATTCTAGCTGTCTGGCTGTGGGCAAATTGCTTGAACTCTCCACACCTCCATTTCCCCACCTGTAAAATACAGATAATAGTAGTACCTAGTCCTTGTGATGCGCAGACACGTTCAAATATAAGTGCATAGAACCGAGCCTAGTGGAACCTAGTGGATTTGTTTGTTTGTTTGTTTGTTTTGCATTGAACACAGAACATGTGCTGTCCTGACTGTTCACAAGCTTCAACTAATCGTGGCCTCTGACTCTCCTTCTACTTCCCTTCCAGGTTCGGGCTGCTCCTCTCCTTGTGTTTCTGCCTGTGGTCTCCTTGTAGCCTACGCCCATGTCCTTCAGGTGCCCAGCTCGATGGGACATACTCTACGACCACATGGCTTTCCTTAGAGACTCGCCCCTTGTCTTTGTCACCCGAGCATTTGTTATAACTCCGACTTTCAGAGTATCATAGGCCCCGTGTCCCTTTTAGTGCCTCGCATGGGAACATTTGAGATGCACGTTTCCTCCTTTGAAATCTCCTTTCCAAAAAATAGAAGGAGTTCATGTAATTGTGTCCAGTGTTCCCTTCCAAACACCCCTGGTACGTTCAGTAGTCTTTGTGTGATCCTCACCCACCTGAGAAATCAATGCAGGATAAAAACGGCAAAATTTAGCACAATTAGCTTTCTACAAGCTCTCTGACTAAAAATGACTTTTCAATTCTCTCATATAGTTTCCTAAGTAGTGACTGTAGTAGGATATTAACATGACCCTCTTCCTGCATTGAAATTTGGGTGAGCCCCCAAAGCTGAGAACTCTCCCAAAGAGGGTGCTAGACCATCTGTGTGGGGCTGGCAAAGGAGTGGTCTGAAACTTGCTCTGCCTGCCACCCACTTCAAGAATTTCAAAGAGGAGGCCAGGAACTTATTAGGAAGTCAAAGCAGCCAGTAGCAAGAATTAGCTTGAAGACAGTTGTCAGTAGCTGGGCGTCCCCACCACCCTGTCCTCACCCTGGCTTGGGAGGAAGAGAAAAGTTATCTTCCCTTCAACCTAAGCAAAGTGAGAGAGACTTCAGACACCACTCAGAGAGCTTCACCTGTGTGGCCCGGAATTGGGTGGGTGTAGACTGATGTCTGCCTTCCATCTGGAAAGCCCAAAGAGAAGGTGGGAGGTTGGAATTCCCTTGCCAGGAAGCCGAGTAAAGAGACAAGATGAAAAGGCGAAGGTACCCTAACGTGGGGTATACCAGGGGCGACGGGCATGGGGGGTGCGTGGCCAACTGGGTATGACTGTGACTTCTTTGAAAGAGTTCAAGTTGGAGAGCCCCATGAGGTTAAGCAAGGTGCCGGGGGAAGACCCCCCCCCAGAGAACCCACAAAAATGCTGCACAGGATGAAGAATCAGCCTGACAGCAGATGATAATGGTGACAATCAAGCAAGTCCTTTCTTTCCCGCTTCCCTTCCATTCACTCTCCTCCGGTTCTGGGGTGGCCTGAATCCGACAGGAGGAGTGAAAGTCGTGAGGGAAGCCAATCACGGAGTTGACTTCACCTGGCAGGAAGCGAGGGCTTGTAAATTGTATGCCAAATGGATATCTGGATTGACCTGGACACTTTATTATCTGAAACATGAGGTTTGTTAATCCCACAGCACCTGCCTGGGGTTTCATCCAGGAGCAAAGAAGAAGCAGTCAACTTAGCACAGAGAAAATAGTGTCACTGCCTTCTGCCTGTGCTCTTCTGAGTCCAGCTCGTTTCGTGACACAGTGACTCGGTACTAAGAAAGCAGGTGCACATCCTCTAGGGTCTAGATGGTCTGTAGACATGCAGGATGGTTTGGTTGTGGTCTTGGCCGAGGGCTGCTCACATTAAGAAGTTCCTGTACATTAGGAACCCACCCCAGGGTGATGGTCTTTTGGTTCTGTCTCCTGTTAGTTTCATCCATGTGCTCTGGTCACCCACCGCCATGAATAAAAGGTGCTCCAGGACCGGGGTGAATCCCTCCTGTCACCCTCAGCAAAGAACTGAGCACGTGGGCATGACAGACATAGGAAATATTCGGCAAAAGACTGAGCCCAGGGAGTGAGAGGGAAGCTTAGCCGTCCATCCATCCATCTAGCCAAGGCTAGAGATGGAGGCCTACAATGGGGAGCACCCTGTCCACAGGGTCAGCGCTTCAAGATGGGTGAGTGTGGGAGGGGGCCACGAGAGCAAGCAGGTGATCAAGACCACGGACAGTGGGCATAGTACAAAGAGGATACAGAGAGGAGGGGAAGAACAAGGCAGAGGTGGGGGCTGAGAATGGAAGCAGGGCCCTCGTGTCGGGTTGCCCGACTTAAATAAAAGCCCGGGCCAGTTGGTCTTTTCTTTTGTCTGGTCTTTCCACGCCACAGGATCTGTTGGACAGGGAGGAGTGAGGATCAGTATCTTCAGCATTTGCTACGATGGCCAGTAGGGTCACCCCAGATTAAAGACCATATGGAAATAGATTGTTCTCCATGTGAAACTGAGAGAGAAAGAGAGAGCAAATGTTAGAAATACTAAGATGCAGGGGCGCCCGGGGGGTTCAGTTGGTTGAGCATCCAGCTTCAGTTCAGGTCATGATCTCACGGTTTGTGAGTTTGAGCCCCGCGTCGGGCTCTCTGCTGACAGCTGGGAGCCCGGACCTTGCTTTGGATTCTGTGTCTCCCTATCTCTCTGTGCCTCCCACCCTCCCCCCTCAGAAAGAAATAAAAAATAAAAAAAAAAAAAAAAAAGAAATACTAAGATGCATGAACTATTATCACCAGCAAACAAAGTTATTTAGAAGAAATATCGTAGGCTTTGGGAATGTAAAAGACACTAGAAGTAGCAAATTTACATTACCTGCTTTAAAGAAATATGGCTGAGATATAAATGACTCTAAGGGAAGTCATATAACAACGTAAAACATATTAACATGTAAGTGCATTCAGTCTTTAATTTAATTTTGAGTCAAATAATCGGGTCAAATTTATTCCTTGTGCAGCACATAATTTTAACCTTTTATTACGCAAAGCTGACAATTCCATTTAAATTGTGAGAGTGTGTTCGGCGCAATTAATTTTAATGATATTTACTATTTGCTGCATATTCCTAAAAGGCAAGCACATCTTGAAAAATTTGTTCAAGTTCTTTCAAACCGCTTTCGGATCCCTGTTAGCAAGCAGGAGTCCAGCTCCCATCCACAGAGGCTTTTGAAAAACTGACAGACGCAAGCGCTGGTCTGCGAGGAGTGTCAGAAGCGTGGTTTTCATCTCAACAAATTCACGTGCAAAAGAGGAGGTTCCTGCTGCCACCGAGAGGGCCCCCATCACGGGCACCTCCCAGCTTGGGTCGTGAGCTGATGGGCGGCACCGGAGGTGTTCTTAGAGCAAAACGAAGCAGCCCCCTCCCCAATATTTGAAAGACTAAAGCTCTGGGTGATCGAAATGCCCCAGGTACCACCCCCCACCCCCACCCCCGACCTGACCTCAGACCAGCTGCCAGCAGCTTGAGAAACGGTGCTGGATGTACTTCAGGTCAACAGGTAACGGCATCGATGAATAAATCAAACAAGTTTTCCAAGGGCAAATATTTGCTGCTAGAATTAAGGAGACAGCTGAAATGTATCCCGTGGATCTAAAAGAAAACCTGAAGCCCAGATGGGTGAAATGATTTGCTCAAGATTGAGGAGACAGGGCCGGAGAGGTCTTCCTGAGACCAGACCTGGGAAAGTTATGTTTTTGTTTGATGTACTCTTTTAAAACATCCGGTTCCGAAGTCCAGATTTTTTAAAATTGGGTTTTCTTAAACCGAGGCACGCCTATATTTGTGTTGCCATCAATACCTTAAATGATATGTCCCTGAGTGAAAAATACGGTGAATATTTTTTTCTAGAAATTTCTCTCACTGGCAGCCCAAAACTGTTAGCTCGTCACAAGCCCAAGGCCACTGTAAGAGCCCAGATAGGTGTCCCTGTTGATTTGATCTTCCTGAATCTGGACTTCTCACATGACATGGCATTTCACCCTGGTCGTCAGCTTCCGAATATTCTGAAAACAGAGCAGCAGGCTTTGGAGGCTGGGAGGGGAAGCCTCTGGTCAACACTCCAAAGTGCTTTTCCAAGGAAGGGAGCACCTCTTCTCCTTCCTCCTGCTAGTGTCCACTGGTGTCCCCAAGAGAGGCTGGCCTCAGCACAGAGCCCCAGCAATGTGACCTGCTGAGTGGAAGCAGACCCTGCCCACAGAGATCTGTCAGCTGAGGACGCCGATGGGGATGCCGATGGGGGTGAGGCAGAGTGGAGGTCAACAGAGGAACGACAGCCATCTCTCCGATGACAACTGAGGAGGAATTTGCCTTGTTGAACATTCGAGGCTGGGATCACAGTTCGAAATAAGATTTTTTTTAAGTTTATTTATTATTGAGAGACAGAGAGACACAGCATGAGCAGGGGAGGGGCAGAGAGAGGGAGAGACACAGAATCCAAAGCAGGCTCCAGGCTCTGAGCCGTCAGCACAGCACCTGACGTGGGGCTCGAACCCACGAACTGTGAGATCATGAACTGAGTCGAAGCTGGACGCTTAACCAACTGAGCCACCCAGGCGCCCCTGAAATAAGATTTATGGTTGGGAATTTGCGTCTGGGAGCGTGCAAGCTCAAGGCTGCCACGGGCTTGGCCGTCTGGGCAGGAGAGACCTGGGTGGGCGATGACCACCCCTCCCCCTCCCTGTCCCCGCTGTCTCCCCGCCAATTTACTTTCTCACATTGCTATGCATGATTCATTTCTTTCTTTCCTTTTGTCTTCCTTTCCTTTCCTCCTTCCTTTCTTTCCTTTTGTCAATTCATTTTTCATGCTCAGTTTTACCAGCTATTTAAAACCTGTACTCTTTTAGAAAATATAATACAAACACATGGGCAAATGGAAACCGTGCAAACAGAATGTCACAAAAACTGTCTTCCTACCACGCCTGTCTCCCCAAAGAGCTCCCTTGTGAAGGGCCAATCACTGATACCAGTTTCTGGAGTATGTCTTTCCAGAGATGGCGAGTGCCTATATCAGCACAAGGACCCATCTGTCCGAGTTCTCCGCGGATGTGAGCTCAGGCCGCACCACTACACCTGGCTGTTTCAGGCGTGGTCTTTCTAAAACACCATCCAGGCACCTGGGTGGCTCAGTTGGCTAAGTGTCCAACTCTTGATTTTGGCTCAGGTCATGATCTCACGGCTCTGAAGTTCGAGCCCCACGTCGGGCTCTGTGCTGACAGTACAGAGCCTGCTTGGGATTTTCTCTCTTTCCCTCTCTGTCTCTGCCGCTCCCCTGCTGGTGCGCAGTCTCTGTCTTGAAAATAAATAAACTTGGGGCGCCTGGGTGGCGCAGTCGGTTAAGCGTCCGACTTCAGCCAGGTCACGATCTCGCCGTCCGTGAGTTCGAGCCCCGCGTCAGGCTCTGGGCTGATGGCTCAGAGCCTGGAGCCTGTTTCCCATTCTGTGTCTCCCTCTCTCTCTGCCCCTCCCCCATTCATGCTCTGTCTCTCTCTGTCCCCCAAAAAATAAATAAAAGTTGAAAAAAAAAACTTTAAAAAAAAAGAAAATAAATAAACTTAAAAAAATTAAAACACTATCTTGCTTCAAATACTTTAACAGATTCCCATTCTCGGCAGACCCTGGCCACCTCCTTCCAGCCCAGTGCTCCCTCCCTCCAGCTCCCCACCCCTCCAGGTTTTGGCCTCAGCAGATCTCCAACCCGAGTCTCACTCACTCCTATCAGTTGCTGAGTCTGGAGACCCTTGCTTTCCCTCTTCTGCTTGCCAAATCATTCTCACCTTTAAAGGCTCAGTTCCAGGGGCACCTGGGTGGCTCAGTTGGTTAAGCACCAACTTCACCTCAGGTCATGATCTCATGGTCTGTGGGTTTGAGCCCCACTTCAGGCTCTGTGCTGAAGGCTTAGAGCCTGGAGCCTGCTTCGGGTTCTGTGTCTCCCTCTATCTCTCTGCCCCTCCCCCATTCACTCTCTCTCTCTCTCTCTCTCTCTCTCTCTCTCTCTCTCAAAAATAAATAAATATTAAAAAAAAATTTTAAGGCTCAGTTCCACATGCCACTTATGCTGGGAAGCCATTCCCAAATTTCCCAGTCATGTTGACTGCTTCTCCTTTCCAAGGACCCTCCCTGTCCAGTTCTGTATCCCTCAAGGGGTGGTTCATGTTATTTTCTGAACACTCTTGAGATGCCAAATACTATGGTAAGGACCAGAGAGAACACAAGAAATAACGGTCTCTGTCCTCAAGGAACTTAGGGTCTAGCAGAGAAAAGTAACATGCGACGACAGTGGGATGTGACGAATACAAGATGCTGTCGTGCGGACTGGGCCAAGACCTGTTGGGAAGGTCCCTAAGGAAGGAGAAACCTAAGGCAATGCATGAAGGTCTAGAAGGATGAGCCACATGAGGAGTTATGGAGAATAGGGGAAAGCCAAAATGTCCTCAAGGAGCCATGCCACACAAAGAGAAAGGCATGTGCAAAAGGAGCGCCAGAACTCTGACATCAAAGAGCTCAATCAATATGGCGGGAGACGAGAGCTATGAGGGCAAAGTTTCCTGTAAATTATGAAGTGCTCTTCAAACAATCAGTGTAGGGGTAAGTGACTCAAAAACTCTGGCAGTTGAACATTCATAATCTCTGACTTCCAAGTTGCTGCAGCCTCTGAAGATTTATAGAGGATCTGGGGAAGGCCAAGGATGGTCACTCAACATGATTGCCCTTGAGAACTTAAATCGTGGGTGTTGACAAGGTGCTGCCAGGAAATTTTTGAAGATTAGCATTTCGGTGAATTGCTCTGTATATCCTGGTACGTATTAATAATACTAAGAGCAGTAGGGACTGGCCTCTATTGAGTTCTTACTTTGCTGCCAATACTATTTTAAATGCTTTACACGGTAGAATCTGTTGAACCCCAACCACTTCAAAGGTGGGCAAACTATTACTGTCACCATTTTATAGACAAGGAAACAGAGTCGCAGGACTTGTTCATGATGGAGTGGCGGTTAAAACCCCAGCAGTGTCTCTGAGCCCCTATTCCTACCCACTAGGTACCACTACCGCCCCCTGGCTGCAGTGGGCGGGTGTTTGGGAGAACATGCTGCCAGGCTGGGAACTCAAGACTCGCTGTTTCAGAGAGAATACTGGAAATCAAGGCCAGATGGACGGTAGGCGGAGTGTGCGTGGCCTGCCCTTGGCACCCTGAGGCAGCCACTGTCTGAAAATACCAATTTGGTGAGTTTAATTAACAGCACACTTGCTGTTAATGCCAAGAACAACAGAAGTCCACGGGTGAACGGCTTGGGGGTGAAAATCAGGATGGAGGGGCCTTTGTTGCCACCTTTCAAGCTGCGATGGACAGCAACAGGCAGTGCTGAACATGCCCGGTTTTGGCAGGAGAGTGGTCAAGATTAATTACACAGATGGATCATTTTGCTCAGAACAAGCCGGGGGATGGTTTGATGTAGTGAC